GGGAAAAAAAGATTGAATATATTTCGATTATTTGAACAATTATATATTGAATTTTGATTTGATGATGCATGTGTTTTGATATTATGAATTTGTATTTTTTTGTTTGAGATTTTTAATTAGATATATTTTGTTATATATTTTATAATTTGTTTTCTATTTTTGTGTTTTATATAATAGGAAAATTATTAAATGTTTTTATAATTTGTTTATATTTTTATTTATGTTTTTCGAAATATTTGGATTTGGGAAAGTGGTCTGGGAATCGTAGTCCTCCATCATTTTCTCGAAATATTGTGAATATTTCGGGGACCATTTTCCCGAAATATTTCGGAAAAAAATGGTTTGGAGTACGATTAGCAAAATATCCGGGATATTTTGGAAAAATAGTCCGGGTTTTGAACGAAGCCATTAAGTCTTTTAGATAAAGAGTCGGGGCATATATTTGTTTGTCCATAGCAATTTAGGCGGAAATCTTGGCTTATTTTCCGAGAGTTTGGCGATGCGAGAAGTTGTGAGCCGCGGCCGATTGTTGCGACTAGTTGTGTTTTTCTTAATGCTTTGAGCGAAATTAGTTCGATTTTGTTTGCACCTAGGATATTTTCTGGTCTATTGTGTTTTTGTTTGCGCTTGCAATAATTGCGTGCGGATCTTTTGAGGCTAATAGCCCACGGATCCGTTCTCACCTTGCTCAGGCGACCGCCTTTCACTAACTCTTTGGCGTGACGTTATCGCGACCAGCCCGGTCCTCAGTGCGTCTCGCGACCTGTGTTTGGAGAACGGCAGCATGCTTTTCGCATGCGACGAGTATACATTTTTTGATATATATAAGATGATAAAGATGCCTGAGTTGCAAAAAATATCTTGCCGGCATGGACTTTATAAGATTTTCTTTATTCTTGGCACACCCACCACGGCTTGGACCTTGGCCCCTAAGAGCTCGGCCCTTTTTTGGCACCCGCCTCAACTTACCCTTAATTGCTGTGGTTTGAAAGAGGCCGCCGAAAACCTGCAACCACCTCCTAGCCGCAAACCGTCGTGGAGGGCAAGGAGAGCGGCGGGGCAGCGCCGAGACAAGCACGTGACGCGTGACAAACCGTTGCCAGGGGACAAGCGGCCAGCGGCTGCGTGCAACTGGGGCACGCGCAGCCGAGACCTCGCACGCGCGTTCTTGCAGCCCGTCTGCATCACGGCTCTCGGGCTCGGAGTCGGACGCGCGCACGTGCGCAGGCGAAGCCTGTAGCATGTCGACATCAGAATCCGGCGCGCTGCGCGCCGGAGGCGTGTCTCTTTTTGTCTCGGTCTCTCTGTCGGTGTCTTTCTCTGTCTCTCTTTGTCTGTTGGTCTCTCTGTCTCTGGTATCTGTTTCTTTGTTTGTCTGTCTGTCTGTCTGTGTCTGTCTGTCTGTGTCTGTCTGTCTGTCTGTCTGTCTGTCTGTGTCTGTCTGTGTCTGTCTGTGTCTGTCTGTCTCTGTCTCTGTCTGTGTTTGTGTCTGTCTGTCTGTGTCTATTTGTCTGTGTCTGTCTGTCTGTGTCTGTCTGTCTGTGTCTGTGTCTGTCTGTCTGTGTCTGTCTGTCTGTGTCTGTGTGTCTGTGTGTCTGTGTTTGTGTGTCTGTGTGTTTGTGCTGTGTGTCTGTGTGTCTTTGTGTCTGCGTGTCTGTGCGTCTGCGTGTCTGTGTGTGTGTGTCTGTGTGTGTGTATGTCTGTGGGTGTGTGTCTGTGTGTTTGTGTGTTTTTGTGTTTGTTTTGGGGTTTGTTTGTCGATTTGTTTTTGTTTGAAATTGATATTATATAGGCTAATTGTATGAGTTTTGGATTCATTTTTTGTATTATTGAGAGACTTAGAAAATTTGATGGAAATTGAAACATTTTGTGTTTAGGTTTGAAAAAATTGTTGGAAGATTTTTTTAATATATATTTTTAGGGAATGGATTGATTTATTTTAAAATTGGAATTTGAATTTTCTTTTTCGAGGTTTTTTTGGGTTTGGCTTTAAAAAAGATGGTATAAAAGGATATTTAAATGATAAGATTTAAATTAATGATGAAATGGTGAAGTTGATCGATTTTGGTTTAGTTGGAGAGACTGGAGTGTATGATTTTTTGGGTTGATTGAATGCATATTAATATAATTTAATTTTAAAATAAAAATATTAAATATATTATATGTTAATATATTTTTATTTAAAAAATTAATAAAATATAGGAATTGAAATTTTTATTCTTAAATTATATATATATATATATATTATCAAAATAACATAGAACTAATATATATTTTAAATTTACAAAAAACAAATTTGATTTATGAAATGCATTGGATGTTGGTGCAAATATTTCGAAAAATCTTGAATATTTCGGAAAATTGGTTTGGATCGCTCTTGGAAGATATAACCACTTCATATTTCTTATGGATCGCTCTGTCCGGGCTACCCCGGCATATATGCGGAAGACATAGTGATTTGTTTTTTTGTAGGGAGCAATTTCCAGAAATTTACATTTTTATACATATATTTTATGAGATCGTTCTAGGTAGCATGCAATTTAGGGGAGGAGCGATTTTTATGAGATCGAAGATCGGGTGTTAAAAGGAGAAATAGTGTAGGGGATATAATATAGATTTTATTTGAAGGATTAATATCGGCGGAGCGCATTGTTATAAAATTAATGAATGAGAATTCGGCCGTAGACAATTTAGTTAGCGCCGGTGGGTACAGTAGTCGGGCGTTAGGGGGGCAATTTGGGGCCTGGTTTGTGTAGGCGGCGGTTGTTTAGCGAGATTGAGGAGTTGTTAAAGATAGGCAGTTAGGGGATATTAATAGGTGCTATTTGAGGGGTTGATGACATAAAAGGGTGGATTTTTTGCAAGATTAATATCCGAACATTAAGCAGAATATAATTTGTTTTATTAGCACATGTTTTTTAATTTTTCAAAACGAATAGATATATATATATATATATATATACTGGTATTTTTACGAAGGGGTTGGGGAGATGGGCATAATATTATCATAATTACAATATAATTATATTATTATTATTATAATTAAAATTATATCAATTATAATTCTACAAAATAATATAGATATAATTTCATAATAAATTCATTTAAAAATAATATTATTAATTATATTCATATTGATATGATTTTCTAATAAAATGATATTTATAAAATTACTAAACTAACTCTAAAAACATATAATTTGGTGTTAATACTATTCGATATCATTCAAAAAATGATTAATATACATTTTGATTTTGAACATTTTTTGAATATTACATTTTTCGACCCTAAATTAAATATACAAATAGTCACATTCATCAAGCTAAAACATAACATTATATATATATATATAAATATATCTTTCATAATTAATAGTAAATTACTAAAATACATATCTATTAAATCATAATAATAATAATAATAATATATATATATATAATTCATAAACAACTATATCACAACATCTAATACTAGCGGGGGCCCGCTGCTTTCCAGCAGCGTGCGAGATGAAGCCCATGGCAGGAAACAGAGCATGAAATAAAAATACATTCCAATTTAATAATTATAGATAGATATATATGATTATATTTATAAAAACAAAATAGGCAGACCGAATAAGTGTTTGACAAAAAACACTTTCGGAATATTTCGAGAAATTAAATTATTGTGTTTTTGAGCCTTTGCCTTAGACCCTACCCAAACAAAAAGAATCGAAAGATTATACACTACATTACCCTAAAAAAAAAATCTAAAAACCCAAATATCTAAAAGCGAATTATAAATAAACCTTCTCAACAACATTTCAATATATTTCCTAAAACACTACAAACAATACACAAAACAACAATATGTCTCAAATGCCCGATACACGAATCAATAAAAGGTAATCGTTTAAACAAGGAAAACAAAAAATATTAAGCTCAAACAATCAACCACAAACCAACTCAAAACATTAAAAAAAACCTCATGAATCACAATCGATGCTCACATCACCAAACTCTCGCAATATTTCAACCAAAATAATAATAAAATATCTACATTTGTATAGATTTATATTTTTTAGTCCTTGCCAACAAAAAAAATAATAATATATTTCAAGAATATCTTTCGCAAATAATTCAAAAAATTATATGTATAAAAAACTAAAACATTACCTAAACAAGCCCGTTACATACATCAATCACAAAAATTAAATTAATTAAAAAACCAAACCACAAAACAATATCTTTTTAAGAAAAAAAATACCCCCAATCAAATTTCTGTATTATTATATTAAAAAATAAAAAACAAAAAATCCTATACCCCTTTAAAAAAATCCAAAATAATCATAATATGTTTCAAAAAAAATAATTATATAATTCTATAAAATTAAAGCAAAAATAATTCCTCCAAAAACCAAATATTTATATGATTTTTTAATTTCTAATTCAATTTAATATTAAAACCCAAAATACTATATTTTTCCAAAAAAAATATAAATTAAATATAAATATATATTTATAATATTAAATATTTTTAAAAATAAAAATATACATAAATTATAATTTAATTAATATTTCATATTTCCATTTATTATAAATGTATATATAAATAAATATTTCAATATATAAAAATTAATAAATAAATATATAAAAAATAATATAATAATTAAAGGACCGGATAACCCCACATGCTATGTTTTTGCAAAGGATGTGAATTCAAATGTCCACACATATGTACCATGCGCCCCTTGTATGGATGCGATTACAGAGCAGGTCTAACGCGCTCTTTTCATCGCAGGCGTTGCTAACCTACTGCAGCCCGAGCCGCTAATCAAAACAAATTCGAGACATTCTCGAACTTAGTGCATCTTATTAAATTATTGGCTACGCCGCACGTGCATCTCAAGAAGTCATCTTGCAGCTCAGCATCGGAAAAGATCTGGACACTTTCCCAAAGAGAAATAGCACTGTGGTATCCGTTGGACGATGAAATCAAGTTTTTTCAGTCAGATGTCCATCTCAAGGCTTCTCCGCGGGGAACCTGCAGGGCCTGCCTTCCTGAAAGATTCCAATAAAGGTGCGCGCTGCGGCTGGAATGTCGACAGAACGCGGACCGCTCCGCCTACATTGTGAATCCATCAGCAGCGCCGAGGGCTTGGCAGGGCAGCCGTAGAGCAACTTATCCAACTTGGAGCAGCTCATCCACGACTTCGGCAATGGCATCTCCACACCCAGATGCACAGCATACAGCGCCTGCCACGACTTCGGCAACGGCATCGCCAAAGTGCTGCGTCTGCCACGATTTCGCACGCCCCCCGCCGGGCGCGCCGCGCCTACCACGATTTCGCACGCCCCCCCGCCGCGCGCACGACAACATCCTGTCCCGTTAGACAGCTGCCGAACGCTGCGCCTGCCACGATTTCGCACGCCCCCCGCCGCGCGCGCGACAACATCCTGTCCTTTTAGACAGCTGCCAAATGCTGCCC